TTTTTTTTTTTTTTTTGAATTTTCAAATTTACTTACTTTCTTGGATAAAAGAAAATGAATTGAAGTAAGAAGAAGATAAATAGAATAAAATGTAAGATTACTGTTTTATTATCTGTAATTTTTTATTTAAAAAATTTTCATACTTTTCTTTACTGAATAAAAATTTATTTCTAATAAAATTTTCCTTTTTTTTTTTTTTGAATTTTCAAATTTACTTACTTTCTTGGATAAAAGAGAGGTGGAGAATTAAACTTTTTCTTTTTTCTTTTTTTTTTTTTTTGAAAAATTAAGTATCAAATTTTTGCAATGTGCAGCAATGAATTTGCTATAATTGGTTTTTCTTTTATTATTAAAGTGCACAGTTTATTTTCAAATTTTATCGTAATTTGAAGTATCAATTTTTTTGAGCAATTTTATTCGTTCAATAAACAATATAATAACTTTTTTTTATTTATTTTTTTTAAGATTGATAACATTTTAGCTTTTTTTTTTTTAGTAATGTTATTGTTTAATTTTTAATTCATTTAAATAATGATAAATGATAAATGTTAATTTTTTAAAAAAATTAAAAAAAAATTAAATTAAATTAAAAAAATTAATTAAATTAACAAAATTAACAAAAAATTAAAATTAAAATTAAAAAATTAAAAAAAAATTAAAATTAACAAATAATTGATAATCATTGTTATTGTTTCTGATATTTTTTTTTTACAGAGCTGATAAGATATCACCACGTGTATTTGAAGACGATAATAATCCAAAGCATTCTTCCGATGCTATAGGTAAGTTTTTTTGTTTTTTTTTTAATCTTAACAAATCAAGTTATTTCTCAAAGTTAATTTTTGAATTTTTTTAATTTTTAATTTTTCTAAACTTTCTTAATTTCTGCCAATTTTATTTTTTACCTATTTTTCTCTTTATTTTATACAGGTTAAATGTTTACGGTTGAAAGAATGTATCACTGTTTTGGAGTAAAAAGTATAATTTTATATATAATATAAAAAATAGAAAAATAATTTTATATATTAAAAAGTATAATTTCATATATAATATAAAAAATACAAAAATGATTTGATATATTAAAAAGTATAATTTCATATATAATATAGAAAATACAAAAATAATTTAAAGTATAATTTCATATATAATATAAAAAATACAAAAATAATTTGATATATAATATTACTCTTATTTATCAAGATATAAATTCAAAAATTAAAAATAAAATCTTTTATCATTTTTTTTTTTGTTTCAATCAAAGATAAAATGACAATAATATATAATAAAATTAAATAAAATTAAATAGATATAAATTCAAAAATTAAAAATAAAATCTTTTATCATTTTTTTTCCCTTTTTATCAAAAATAAAATGACAATAATATATAATAAAATTAAATAAAATTAAATAGATATAAATTCAAAAATTAAAAATAAAATCTTTTATCATTTTTTTTTTTTAAATCAAAGATAAAATGACAATAATATATAATAAAATTAAATAAAATTAAATAGATATAAATTCAAAAATTAAAAATAAAATCTTTTATTATCATTTTTTTTTTAAATCAAAGATAAAATGACAATAATATATAATAAAATTAAATAAGATTAAATAGAATAAATTCAAAAATTAAAAATAAAACCTTTTATCATTTTTTTTTTGTTTTAATCAAAGATAAAATGACAATAATATATAATAAAATTAAATAATTTAAAATCTCTGAAATATTCCTATCAAATGTAAAAGCTAATTTTTTGACTTTTTTAGCTGCTTCATTAAATATGTCATCTGATCCAACTCTTCGATTGATATGGATGGATGCTATAGATTTGCGTGATTTACAAGATCATTCGGAGCAAAGTGAATTTCTAGTGCTAAGAAGACTTCTTGGCATTGATGTTAGCTTATTTTTTTTAAAGCAAATTTCTTTTTTTTTTTTTTCCATTTCATTTTATATTTTAATAAAATTTAATAAAAATATTTATATTTTAATAAAATTTAATAAAAATATTTATACTTTTATATTTAATAAAAGAATTTAAGTTAATGTAAAATGATCAATTATCATTCATTATCAATCTATACGTAAATTTTTTTTTGATAAATCCAAATTAATTTTATTTATTTGTTTGTTTATTTGTTTATTTACTTATTTATTCACTGTACTCTCTAGGAAAATTAACATTTTGAATAGCTTTTGTAATAAATGCGATCAATTATCATTCATTATCACTCTATGCATCTATGCATAGATTTTTTTTTGATAAATCCAAATTAATTTTATTTATTTGTTTGTTTATTTGTTTATTTATTTATTTATTTATTCACTGTACTCTCTAGGAAAATTAACATTTTGAATAGCTTTTGTAATAAATGCGTATTACTTTTGATTACTTTTGATTTTTCATAATTTAAATCCAATGTATATTAAAAGAATTAATTTATTTGAAATAATTATTAATAATAATGAATGATCAAATATTGTTCAAATTTTAGCTATTTATGAGTTTTTTGTTTTTTTCTTCTCATTTATAATTTAAAAAATGCATTTTTTTTTGTTTCAGCGTATATCATATGATACACTTTCACGATATCATATTAAAGGACATTTGGATAATTTTATGAGAGCTGGTTTGTGTTATCCAAGATATCGAGGTATATATATATATTAGTTTTATACAAATAATTATTAAAATATAAACAAACAAAAAAAAAAAATTTTTTTTGTAAACAAATAATTATTACAATAATTATTACTTTTATTAATAATCAAATAATTATTAAAATATAAACAAACAGAAAAAAAAAACAAATAATTATTACAGTAATTATTACATTTATTAATAATCAAATAATTATTAAAATATAAACAAACAGAAAAAAAAATTTTTTTTTTTTTTGTAAACAAATAATTATTACAATAATTATTACTTTTATTAATAATCAAATAATTATTAAAATATAAACAAACAAAAAAAAAAAAAATTTTTTTTTTTGTAAACAAATACAATAATTATTACTTTTATTAATAATCAAATAATTATTAAAATATAAACAAACAAAAAAAAAATTTTTTTTTTTTGTAAACAAATAATTATTACAATAATTATTACTTTTATTAATAATCAAATAATTATTAAAATATAAACAAACAGAAAAAATATTTTTATAAACAAATAATTATTACAATAATTATTACTTTTATTAATAATCAAGTAATTATTAAAATATAAACAAACAGAAAAAAAAAACAAATAATTATTACAGTAATTATTACTTTTATTAATAATCAAATAATTATTAAAATATAAACAAACAGAAAAAAAAATTTTTTTTTTTTGTAAACAAATAATTATTACAATAATTATTACATTTATTAATAATCAAATAATTATTAAAATATAAACAAACAAAAAAAAAAAAAATTTTTTTTTTTGTAAACAAATAATTATTACAATAATTATTACTTTTATTAATAATTTATTCTTTCCTTTAATTATTAAAATATTTTTTTTTTTTTACTTATAGGACCTAGTAGTCGAGTACGATTACCGGCAGGATTAAAAATTATTCGAAAAGTTGGTACTGATTGTTTGGAGAAAGAAAATTATCCTGGTTCAGATAGTGAAGGGTAGGTGATGAATGAAGTTTAGCCAAGAAAATATGTCACAAAATGATAAAAAAAAAAAAAAATGAAATTAGGATTTTTTAGGAAAATATTTTTGCTAAAGTATTTTTCTGAGTTATTTGATAATGTAAATTAATTTTTTATTTATTATTAAATGAGATAATAGTTTTTTTTTTTTCGAAGTTTAGCCAAGAAAATATGCCACAAAATGATAAAAAAAAAAGAATAAAGTTAGGATTTTTTTTTTAGGAAAATATTTTTGTTAAAGTATTTTCCTGAGTTATTTGATAATATGAATCAATTTTTTATTTATTATTAAATGAGATAATAGTTTTTTTTTTGTTTTCATTAGATATTCGACATTGTATTGTAGGTTGTTGCAGAAAATTACCATTTTCGGGAATTTTTGGTTATCATTTGGTTACGGCATCAGATCGACGTATTGTGTTAACTACAAATGAACGTGATGCATTAGCAGTATTTGAAGCTACCGGTGGAATGTTATGTATAGCATTACCAAAAGGTGAACAATTGGATACAAGGTAGTTTGTTTTTGTTTTTTCTCGAATAATATATATTACTTTTATATTTTTATTCTTTTTATATTTTATTTTATTGAAAATTTACTAGATAAAATTATAAATATAAATATATTATAGATAAAATATGATTGTTTGTTTATTTATTTATTTATTTTTTTTTTAGTGTGAAAATTTGCTAGATACAATTATAAATATAAATAAATATAGATAAAATATGATTTTTGTTTATTTTTTTTGTTTTTCTCGAATAATATATATTATTTTATATTTTTGTTCTTTTTATATTTAATATATATTATTTTGTATTTTTGTTCTTTTTATATTTTATTTCATTGAAAATTTACTAGAATTATAAAATTATAAAATTTATAGATAAAATTATAAAATTATAAATATAAAATTATAAATATATATTATAAAATTATAAATATAAATATTATAGATAAATTATTATTTTTATTTATTTATTTATTTATTTTTTTTTTTTTAGTGTGCTTCCATATTTGGAAGATTTCGATATGGTTTATCTTTGGTTTCCTTATGTTCAGGAAAAACATGCAAAAGATTATGCATCATTATTGAATGCTAATCGTTGTTTTATTGTTGAGTAAGTTTATCAAATTAGCAATCCATTTTTTTTTTTTTAATATTATTACTGATCACTTTCATCTCAATGAAAATAATAATAAAGTTATTATTATTATTATTATTATTATTATTATTATTATTATTATTATTATTATTATTACTATTATTATTATTATTATTATTATGGTATGCATTTTTTAATTAAGTTAAATTTTAATAAAGAATTCAATTTTATGTAAACATTTTTCAATCAATCATTCGACTATATTACATTTTTTTTAGCAATCATGAACGTCCAATTGAATTGTTACGTTCGGATCGTAGACGTGAAATTAATAAAGCAATTCGAGATGAATCAATTCGTTTACGTGGCAAAGGATTTCGATCATTAATTGATGTACGAAGTGAATTGAAATCGGAGCTAATTAAGGATCAGATGAAGATGAATGGTGTTGCGCAGGTAATTTTTAGTATAGATGTTAAATAAAATTGTTTGTTAATTTTATATTTCATTTCGATATTTACAACTTCAATGATTACTAATTAGAACTTAGAAATCAGTGATTACTAATTAGAACTTAGAAATTGATATTTACTACTTCAATGATTACTAATTAGAACTTAGAAATCGATATTTACTACTTCAATTATTACTAATTAGAACTTAAAAATCGATATTTACTATTTCAATGATTACTAATTAGAACTTAAAAATCGATATTTGCTACTTCAATGATTACTAATTAGTACTTAGAAATATTCTATCTTAATTTTGAAATATTTTTTGTAGTGGAAACGATTTGATTTGTTGAATCGATTTATGCGCGGATTTCGACCGGGCGAGATGACCGTTATAACAGGAGGTACTGGTTTCGGCAAAACAACATTCCTTTGCGAATATGCTCTTGATCTTCTTGTTCAAGGAGTTAGTATTACTTCATTTTATGTTTTTTTTTTTTTTCTTTTTCTTTTTCTTGATTACAATAAATTATAAAAAACAAAATAACTTTATGCTTTTAACATTTCTCATCAATCATTTTTTTTTTTGTTTATTATAGGTTCGTACTCTATTCTGTAGTTTTGAAATGCCGGATGAAAAAATTCTGAAATGGATGCTCGTACAATTTGCAGCGTTAGTTTTTTTTTTTTCTGATTTCTTTTTATATTTATTTTATATTAGATGATAAAATAGCATGCTATAGATGAATAATATAAGAATTGTAAATTATAAATTCATCTTTGCTTTGCTATCAATTTAAGCTTATAAAAAGTAAAATATGATAATATTTTGTGATAGAATTTAAAAAAAAGATTTACTACTTTAATGTATAATATTTTGTCATAGAATTTGAAAAAAAAAGAAAAAGATTTACTACTTTAATGAAAAAAGATTTACTACTTTAATGTATAATATTTTGTCATAGAATTTGAAAAAAAAAAAGATTTACTACTTTAATGAAAAAAGATTTACTACTTTAATGTATAATATTTTGTCATAGAATTTAAAATAAAGATTTACTACTTTAATGAAAAAAGATTTACTACTTTAATGTATAATATTTTTGTCATAGAATTTAAAATAAAGATTTACTACTTTAATGAAAAAAGATTTACTACTTTAAGAGTTATAACAATTTGATATAGTTATAACTGTTAGCATTTTTTTTTTTTTTTTAAGATTATTAAAATTGCATTAAATGATCTAAAAATTAGCTCCATCATATTTGAGTTAGAAAATATTTAAAAGAATAGATTTAAAAGAATTATGCAAAAAAATTAATCGTGTAGTTTTGTTAGCCCAGCACATCTACGTAATATGGCAAAATCTCGAACAGTTCATAATGGAATAAAGTAAGCATACTATAATAATTTATAGGTCATCATTACAAATGACCTATATGACCTATAATGACCTATCATTTATATAGGTCATTATGAGTTATTATTATAGCTTTACATATATGTAATTTACATTTTGATCACATTTGTATATATGCACTACCACTCTCACTCATATTTTTTGCTTGCTTTTCATCTAAATATTTTTTTTTTTTTTTTTTTGAAATCATTTGACGCACACTGTTCGCATCATAAAAAAAAAAAGAGAAAAAATAAAAATTTAAAAAGCTTAAAAAGAAGATAATAAACGTTAGAGATGGAAAGATTTAAGCGTAATAACGTGATATCACGTTTATTACGTTTAATAATAAGGTGGTGGTGGTGGTAGTAGTAATATTGATGGTACAGTGAACGTCAAATGCATATTTGTGTGATGTCTTATAAATGTGAATGTTAGTAATTTTGTATGTGTTTGACATTCATATATATGCATTTCATGTTTCACTGTACGTTACTGTTTTATTATTTTTTTAATTAATTAATTAATTAATTAATTTATTTATTTTTTTTAGATTACCATTGTATAAAGTAGAACATCATCCAGCTGTTGAATTATGGATTGATCGTTTTGAACGTACAAAAGGCGAATTAATTATTATGAAAGCAGATGAATTCCGAAATCGTTCTGTTAGCCAAATTGCTAATGTATGAATAGTATATATATATTGAAGTTTAAAAATTTTTATTTATCTAAAAAAAAAATGAGCTAATTAAATTATAAGGATACAATGATGCTATTTTTAATATATTTAAACAAATAAATTTGTTGAGAGTAATGTAGAAGTAATTTTTTTTTCAGTTATTAAGTTATATTATAAATTAGTTATTAAGTTATATTATAAATTCAGTTATTAAGTTATATTATAATCTTAAATATTATAAATTAGTATTTAAGATATACATCAGTAATCAATCATTCTTCTTGTAATTGTTTGTGTATTAATTAGAATTAAATATTTTCATTTTTGTATTATTAGATTAAATTTTATTTTTTGTTTATTTTTTAGGCAATAAGAAATTATTAAGTTATATTATAAATTAATATTTAAGATATACATCAGTAATCAATCATTCTTTTAGTAATTGTTTGTGTATTAATTAGAATTAAATATTCTTATTTTTTGTGTTATTAGATTAAATTTTATTTTTTGTTTATTTTTCAGGCAATAAGAAATTATTAAGTTATATTATAAATTAGTATTTAAGCTATACATCAATAATCAATCATTCTTCGTGTAATTGTTTGTGTATTAATTAGAATTAAATATTCTATATTTTTATATTTTATTTTATTTATATTATTATTTTATAAATATTTTTATTTATATTTTATTTATATTATTATTTTATAAATATATATATATATATATTTTTTGTATTATTAGATTAAATTTTATTTTTTTGTTTATTTTTCAGGCAATAAGAAATTATTAAGTTATATTATAAATTAATATTTAAGATATACATCAGTAATCAATCATTCTTTTAGTAATTGTTTGTGTATTAATTAGAATTAAATATTCTTATTTTTTGTGTTATTAGATTAAATTTTATTTTTTGTTTATTTTTCAGGCAATAAGAAATTATTAAGTTATATTATAAATTAGTATTTAAGCTATACATCAATAATCAATCATTCTTTTAGTAATTGTTTGTGTATTAATTAGAATTAAATATTCTATATTTTTATATTTTATTTTATTTATATTATTATTTTATAAATATTTTTATTTATATTTTATTTATATTATTATTTTATAAATATATATATATATATATATATTTTTTGTATTATTAGATTAAATTTTATTTTTTGTTTATTTTTCAGGCAATAAGAAATTATTAAGTTATATTATAAATTAATATTTAAGCTATACATCAATAATCAATCATTCTTTTAGTAATTGTTTGTGTATTAATTAGAATTAAATATTCTATATTTTTATATTTTATTTTATTTATATTATTATTTTATAAATATTTTTATTTATATTTTTATTTATATTATTATTTTATAAATATATATATATATTTTTTTTTGTATTATTAGATTAAATTTTGTTTTTTATTTTTTTGTTTATTTTTCAGGCAATAAGAAATTATTAAGTTATATTATAAATTAATATTTAAGCTATACATCAATAATCAATCATTCTTTTAGTAATTGTTTGTGTATTAATTAGAATTAAATATTCTATTTTTTTTGTATTATTAGATTAAATTTTATTTTTTTGTTTATTTTTCAGGCAATAAGAAATTATTAAGTTATATTATAAATTAGTATTTAAGATATACATCAATAATCAATCATTCTTTTAGTAATTGTTTGTGTATTAATTAGAATTAAATATTCTATATTTTTATATTTTATTTTATTTATATTATTATTTTATAAATATTTTTATTTATATTTTTATTTATATTTTATTTATATTATTATTTTATAAATAAATATATATATATTTTTTGTATTATTAGATTAAATTTTGTTAAATTTTGTTTATTTTTCAGGCAATAAGAAATTATTAAGTTATATTATAAATTAATATTTAAGCTATACATCAATAATCAATCATTCTTTTAGTAATTGTTTGTGTATTAATTAGAATTAAATATTCTTATTTTTTATATTATTAGATTAAATTTTATTTTTTTGTTTATTTTTCATTTTTTTGTTTATTTTTTGTTTATTTTTTTGTTTATTTTTCAGGCAATAAGAAATCAAGTGGTAGCAGGTGAAATTGAACATGTTGTCATTGATAATTTGCAATTTCTAGTAGGTCTTGCAATTCTAAACGATGAAACAGCAAATTCATTTGAACGTTTTCATCAACAAGTATATTCTTCTCAATTTTTATACTTTTATCTTCAAAAAAAAAAAAAAAATATTTCTAATAATTGATGTTATTGATTTATTATATATAATTTTGAAATGTATTCAAAATAAGTTAAACTTTTTTTTTTTTTTTTGTAGGATCGTTTTATTGGTTTGATGCGAAGTATTGCTACTGATTGTATGACACATATCACAATGGTAGTTCATCCTCGAAAAACTAACGTAAGTAATACTAGAAAAGTTAACTTATTTTAAAGTTAAAAGCTAACGTAAGTAATACTAGAAAGTTAACTTATTTTAAAGTTAAAAGCTAACGTAAGTAATACTAGAAAGTTAACTTTTAACTTATTTTAACTTATCATTTTTATATATTTTGCAGAAAACATCCTCAAAAAAACTAACGTAAGTAATACTAGAAAGTTAACTTTTAACTTATTTTAACTTATCATTTTCATATATTTTGCAGAAAACATCCTCAAAAAAACTAACGTAAGTAATACTAGAAAGTTAACTTTTAACTTATTTTAACTTATCATTTTCATATGTTTTTTTGCAGAAAAATCATTTGAAGAAAAATTTTATGTAACTCCTGCAAACAAAAACGTTGATTTCTGTTTAAATGATAAGGTTTATGATAAGGTTTTTTTTTTAGGGTGGCGAAGATCTTGATGTACATCATTTTGGAGGTTCAGGACGTGTTACACAAGAAGCAGATAATGTTTTTGCAATACAACGACGACGAGATGAAGCAGATCGACGTAGATTTCGCAAATTTTTATATGTAAGTTTTCCAAAAACATGAAAAAATGAAAAAATGAAAATATCTACAAAATATCAAAACGATTGTTTATTTATAAAATTTATTTATAATTTTACTTTTTCATAATTTTAATTTTCATAATTCATAATTTTATTTTTGAGTTTTTTTTTGTTTTTTTTTGTTTTTTGCTAAAGATATATATCAAATATAATAGATTTGGACGTAGATTTCGCAAATTTTTATATGTAAGTTTTCCAAAAAAAAAAAAAATGAAAAAATGAAAATGAAAATATTCACAAAATATCAAAACGATTGTTTATTTATAAAATTTATTTATAATTTTATTTTTGAGTTTTTTTTTGTTGTTTTTTTTTTTTTGCTAAAAATACATATCAAATATAATAGATTTGAAGTATTTGTTACAAACTTTTCGTATTTCATTATTTCCATTTCATATAATGAGTTAAAAATTTATTTTAAGAATATTACTCTCCTAAAACTATATATAACATTTATAATAGTATTATTTACAAAAAAAAAAAAAAAAAAAAAAAAAAAAAACGATAATTGTTATTTTGACTAATAAATAAAACAGTGAAAATTTTATTTAAATGAAAATATCATCAATATACTAACAAATATTTTTAATAAGAAATTTTTAAATAATTCTTCATCAACATTTATAATAATATCATTTACAAAAAAAAAAAAAAAAAACGATAATTGTTATTTTGATTAATAATAAACAGCGAAAATTTTATTTAAATGAAAATATCATCAATATACTAACAAATATATATATATGAATGAGTTTTTTTTAATAAGAAATTTTTAAATAATTCTTCATCAAAAACTCTTACAAAAATTTTTTATGATACTATTCTTTTTTTTTTTTTTCTTTTTCAACTAATAAAATATATTTTTTAACATTTGTTTTTTTTTTTTTTTTTTGTAGATTCTAAAAAATCGTTATGGTCAGAGAAAAGTTGAAGATGATATGATTGAGATGATTTTTCAACCGGCTACATATACACATACACTGATTGACCTATCATCAACAACAGGTCCAACAAGTTCATCCTCAAAATGACCTTTTTGTTATCACTCAAATTATCATTTTGAGTTATCACTCAAAAAATGATTGATATTTTTCTCCCACTGCCATATATTTATATTTATTTACTGGAAATTAACTCTCTGCCACACTGTTTTTCATATTCATAAGTGATTAGTTAGCGATGATAAAAAATTTTAAATTTATAAGAAAAATTTATAAAATTTTTATTTTTTTTTTTTTTTGTAAAATTTTAAATTTATAAGAAATTTATAAGAAGAGAATATAATTTATAAAATTTTAAATTTATAATAAGAAAAAAAGCTCATAGTAGTTACTCTCGTTTTTTTTGTTTTCAAATCGTTAAAATTGAAATGTTATCGTCGTTAAAATTGAAATTTATCGATATGTTTTAAAATTGAAATTTATCGATATGTTTTAAAATTGAAATTTATCGACATGTTTTTGCATGTATTTTACACAAAGATTACATTAAGTTGAATATTCATAAGTCATTAGTTAGCGATGATAAAAAATTTTAAATTTATAAGAAAAAAGCTCATAGTTACTCGTTCTTTTTGTTTTCAATTCGTTAAAATTGAAATTTATCGATATGTTTTAAAATTGAAATTTATCGATATGTTTTAAAATTGAAATTTATCGATATGTTTTTGCATGTATTTTACACAAAGATTACATTAAGTTGAATATTCATAAGTCATTAGTTAGCGATGATAAAAAATTTTAAATTTATAAGAAAAAAGCTCATAGTTACTCTCGTTCTTTTTGTTTTCAATTCGTTAAATTTCAAAAATTGAAATTTATCGATTTGTTTTAAAATTGAAATTTATCGATATGTTTTAAAATTGAAATTTATCGTCGTTAAAATTGAAATTTATCGATATGTTTTAAAATTGAAATTTATCGTCGTTAAAATTGAAATTTATCGATATGTTTTAAAATTGAAATTTATCGATATGTTTTAAAATTGAAATTTATCGTCGTTAAAATTGAAATTTATCGATATGTTTTAAAATTGAAATTTATCGATATGTTTTAAAATTGAAATTTATCGTCGTTAAAATTGAAATTTATCGATATGTTTTAAAATTGAAATTTATCGATATGTTTTTGCATGTATTTTACACAGAGATTACATTAAGTGAATACATCTAAGTATTTTTCCATCCTTATTAATTTTTTTTTTTTTTTTTCAATTTACTTATACTAGAATGCAGTAAGATTTGATGGTATAATTTTAGTTTAACTTTGAATGCATCTAATTTCATCGAATAGTCTAGATAAAGAAACTAAAATATTCTCATCTGGATTATAGTAAGATTAATCTGATTGATCCGTTTTCTGTTTTCTGATAAGATCATAAATACAGCAATTGATAAAATAATGCTTTTTTTTGATTGCTGTTTAGATAAAACAAACTTTAAAACTTTAAAGATAACAGTAAATAACTATGTAGTAATAAATTTGAACTGAAAATTGATGATAATTCTTTCTAAAACAATTGACTTTCAATGGAAAAGCATACGACAATTATTTAAATTGAATGATATTTATCAGTTGAAAATTAAAATATCATCAAAAAAAAAAATTAATTTCATATTTGTTGTCCTTTTTTTTTTTTTTAAATTCAAATTTAAGCAGGAAAAAGAGCGTCCGGATTATAGTAAGATTAATCTGATTGATCTGTTTTCTGTTTTCTGATAAGATTATAAATACAGCAATTGATAAAATAATACAAAATGATGCTACTAATCTAAATTATCATTTTATCATCAAAATAAGTATATTATACAAATAGTAGCGCTCTTCTTCATTGCATAACTTTTTCATTCCGTCATATTGTCATTTTGTAGTGAATAAAATTGTGAGTGGAAAATAAAATTGTTTACTAAACAATGTGCACTACAAGAAAAAAAACAAACAAACAAACAAACAAAAAATCAATCTTCCATATTCTCAAAGAATTTTCTCCATTGATTTATTTTTGTTGTGAAAAAAAAAAAAATTTAGAAAGGAATTGAAGAAGTTGTGAATTAGGGTCATTCATGGAAGCTATCATAAATTTTAATTAATTTGCTAAATTTAAATTTTGTTTTTTGTTCTTTATTTTTATCTTTATTGAGAAAAGCTAAGAGTGTTTAGGAGAAATCTAAAAAAAAAAAAATAAGTGGGTAAATTAACTCTGCAACAATAATTTGGTAGATCTACTCGATATACTTATACTTAGAGTAAATTTAAAAATAAGTGGGTAAATTAACTCTGCAACAATAATTTGGTAGATCTACTCGATATACTTATACTTAGAGTAAATTTAAAAATAAGTGGGTAAATTAACTCTGCAACAATAATTTGGTAGATCTACTCGATATACTTATACTTAGAGTAAATTTAAAAATAAGTGGGTAAATTAACTCTGCAACAATAATTTGGTAGATCTACTCGATATACTTATACTTAGAGTAAATTTAACAGAGAATACTTGTCATCTCATCATGATAAATTCAGGAACTGACCTTTAACCTTGCCATTCACCTTTCACCTTTCACCTTCCCGTCCACTCCGGTAACTACCAAATTTCCTTCTGGTTGGTTGTGGGAAAGTTTAAAAGAGATTCTCGATCGAGATGAAAGAAATATTAGAGACTATGGTAGTTGAGGAGTCTTTTTTACCTCATACGTGTGAAAGAAATGTTAGAGACTATGGTAGTTGAGGAGTCTTTGACGTTATACGTGTGAAAGAAATATTAGAGACTGTGTAATTGAGGAGTCTTCGACGTTGGACGTGTAGCGAAGACGAATGTATTGATAACGTTAAGTTACGCTAAACGTTACGCTAATTAGGCGTACCCTCTTGTATAACATACAATTTCTGCGCTTCTATGCATATATTTAATGCCATTTTTATTTCATGCTATTTTTACGTATCATAATAGTTACGTGTGTTAAGTTACGTATGTATGACAAATGTAAAGAAACTTGGATATTGGTATGAATAAATTACTGTTCGTCTTTTGAATATGTATCTGTTGTATATGTTATTGATGGCAGTAATACTTACTTAATGCCTACTTAATCCTATATTTATAAATAATGAAAAATAATTTTAAAAAAATAAGAAAAAATATATATATATAAATAATAAAATATATATATAAATATAAAAAATATAAATAATACACATAACCTTATTATTAATGGCAGTAATACTTATTTAATGCCTACTTATTCCTACATTTATAAATAATAAAATGGGAGGAAAAATTTTCTTTAAGGCATCTGGAATGAGGAAGCTTTTGCAGGTGAAAATGAATGAAATAACAGCGGATAAACATGCAATAATGACATCAGTAACGGAAGTTTGTTCTACGTCGAAAGATGAGAAATCTGATATTTTGATGACGGACGTGTGTTCTACATCAAAGGATGAGAAATAAGGCATCTGGAATGAGGAAGTTTTTGCAGGTGAAAATGAATGAAATAACAGCGGATAAACATGCAATAATGACATCAGTAACGGAAGCGTGTTCTACGTCGAAAGATGAGAAATGTGATATTTCGATGACGGACGTGTGTTCTACATCAAAGGATGAGGAATTTGATGTTTCGATGAAATGTGTACCTGTGCGAATCGAATATCTGAATTCACAATTTCTTGTATTTGATGTTAATGGTTAGTATATGTATATGTATGTATTTATACGTGAAGGTTATGTGTGGAACGGAAAATTCCTGTATGGAACGTCTCATATTAGATATATGATTAGCTGAAGTTAAACGTTTTCCGAGATTTTTTATTAGTGTTAAGAAAGAAAGTGAGCTGCAAAGGAAACAAATGCTAATAACTAAAATACGTGATTGAGCATTAAGACATTAAGCAGGTATGAAGTTTGATTCTTGTTTTCCAAACATTTTGAAAAAATTTATATAAATTTTGAAGTGGTGGAGCAGATAATGAAGGAATGCCGCATTATCGCTGAAGCATATGGTACTTCTCCTAATGCACGTGCTGATCTTCGAAAATATGGAGCTCCATTTATTCTGATGCCGGAACAAGTGGCTGTACTTAGTGAATATGGTTAGTATTTCCTCTCTCTTTAATTCTATTGAAAGTAATACTGTTTCTTTCCTTGAATAAAATCAAAAAAGAAAAAAGAAAAAACCTTACTACTAATTATTAGAATGATTGTTGAAAATTACCTAACTTCATAATTGAGACATATTTGTATCTATGCTATTATGATCATTAATTATGTCATCTTTTGGGCTCGCAAAGGTGGTGCAACTTAAGAATAATACGGAAGATATTCCTACTGGAAGAAGTAATGTCGAACTTTCGAAACCTCATTCTATACAGTTGGATGATGAAGTATTAAGGAAGAAAGCTGAAATGATGGTGAAAGGTCGGAAAGCAAAGAAGCTGAAACGTCAGGCTAATAGTGAAGCTACAGCCGCAGCTCTTAAGGTATTGGATAAGTTTTTTTTTTTTTTTTTCTTTAATACAATTACATAAGGTGGATTAAATATGGCACTCTTTATTTACTTAATATATTAATAAAGCTTATTTGTTTCTTTTCTTCTTATTACTATAGGATATTAATTTTCGTCATAAAAAAATTTCAACACTAAAACTCATATTCAGATAAGTAAAATAATTCACTTTATCGAATTTGTATTACGTTGCTTTCTTTGTAACACAGAGTATACGTGATCGGTTTTTGTATAGAACTTTTATCTTGAAGTTGTATTTCCTGAAGTACTTGGTAGATTTTTGAGGCTAATATTCTCCAATTTTGAGATTGTTTTGTAATGGTTTTATTATGATTAAAGTCAATTTTACGCAGTTGGGAATTCTTTTTTGACATGTGAACCAAAAGTTTTGTTCGTTTCGACATTTCTGTCATTAATGAAGAATTAAAGTTTTTAGCCGTTTATCTAAACATTTGGACCATTTCTTCGTTATATTATTTAAAATTTCTCTTTCTTTTGAGTGAGGATGTTATTGTTCATGTTGATTAA